TGCGTTGAACTGAAGGTTGACCGGGTGCATTGATGTTGAAAGAACGGGCTGTCAGCGCTTGTTAAAAAAAAAAAAATGGTCTCGTACTCTTCCATGCCCTAATATTTAGCCCCTTCTCTCTGTTAGTTGATAGTTCTTTGTGCAGTATGTAGTGCATCCTCATTTCTCATGCCTCATCTAACACTCACCCCAACCAAGGAGTGTAACCGATGACGCGGCTCCATTTAAATCTCATCTTTGCGATACGCTCGCCTACACCACCCTCCCTTTCCCAGCCTGCTGCGGCGCGGCTCCATGTTCGTGTTCTCTGTGTTCTAACCTCCCCCAGCATGCTGCGGCTGTTCCATGTTCACGTTCTCTACCTCCCCCAGCCTGCTGCGTCGCGGCTCCATGTTCGTGTTCTCCCGGGAGCAGTTTGTGCGCCTGCTGGGTGTGTCCAGCTCGTGGCGCGCTGACCGGCTGCTGGACCTGGGCGCTGGAGACGGCCGGGTCACAGAGGTCATGGCCGGTCACTTTGATCGGGTCAGCGCCACTGAGGTGTCCGGCACCATGCAGAACATCCTCAGAGACAAAGGATACAGGTGGGAACGATGACACTGGGTGGACTGGGGTGGATTTGCCGGGGTACAGTGCACAGTGGGGATTTTTCCGATCTAGCGCCTATTAATTCAAAAAATCTTTTTTGGATTTTTGTTTATTTTTTGTGTCAGTGGGGCTAAGAAATGTCTGAATTTTTCATATATGGCATTGTTTTATCTGTATGTCTACAGCAAAACTAGGAAAAATGCGCCCGAAGTTCACACTCATGCGTGATTACTCAATGGGCTCAGCAAGGCCCGAAAGTATAGCTCAATGTCATTGTCCTGTCCTGTTGGTTTTAATCTTGCGAGGTCTTAAAGTTGCATATCGTCTGAAAGGCACCTTTATTAGGAATGGAATGGCAAACAGAAAGTATGCCACAACCTTACTAAGGTCACAAAAATGCCCTTTACAAAAAACCCTTACAGACACCATATTGAAGGAATGGTATTCTAAATAAATGTAGGAAATCAACAATGTTCTCCACACTTTTCCACTCCGAAATATATCCTATCGAATTCGCCACTTTCTCCTGCACAAGACAACGCCTAGTTTGGCTGCCGAAACTTGCCTGAACACGGAATATTCACATTAGAGTATCTTAACACCCCACTCGAGGAGCGCTAGGGCAAACAGCACGATATAGGTAGGTTCCGGACATAGGCGAATAATTTTACTTCGTGATTTATAGGATGCATATTTTCTGAGACACATTCATTAGGAATAGGATGACAAGCGTAAATTATACATACCGTAACCTTATTAACCATCGCACTTGTGGGGAGGGGGAGGGGGAAGGGGTCGGATAAAACCCCATGGTTTTCCGCAAATTACTCGCGCAAAAAGCGGCCGATCGCGCCTTAACTTTCGGTGCCCTCGAGATCATCAATATTACATCTAACCTAAAAATTTCATGACTCTGACCCAACTGACCTTTGACCTGAGGCATATTTCTCGAGACCATGTTTGGCCGGAATCGCGATTCGGCGTATGCCAGCTCACATTATCCGCGGTTTCCAGTCTTTTTGTGGTTTTAAACGTTCAAATATGTGAAATGATGTTGGTGCCATGCATAATGGTGGGTGGCAAGGTCACGTGAAGGTCAAGTCAAGGTCATTGACCTTTTGATGACCTTGGTTCACTTTTTCGAGTTTTACTTGTTTCTAGGGTAGTTTTTGGTGCTGATTTCGATTTTAGCAGCCATTTGAATATTTACGAAGTAGTTCTGGTGCCTTCGTTCCATGCTACGAAGCTATCAGTAGTAGGTGACACTTCTATGGATGGCCGGCAGGACGCCTACTAGTTGATCTAACCTGACCTGACCCGACCTGGCCTAAATGCATAAAGACATCGTCTGCGATCAAAACTAACATGAAATTCGTGATCAGCACCCCAAAATACCCCGTAACACCCTAACTTTGCGAAGTTTCAAGAGGTCTCGATTTCCCAACTTAAGTTGGGTCATTAAACTGACTTGGAAAGTCAGCTTATGACCTTGGACTTTGAAATTGGATATATTCGGCCTCATTTCGTCATAGGCAGCACGCTTGACTTTTCCGCGAAGCTCTAGCTTGATCAGGGGCCAAACGGCTGAGCGGGGGTCCAATCGAACCCCCTATAATATGTTGATTATGCACATTTACAGGTAAAATTCTCACCAGGACACACCAGCCAACATATGTGCACAATCTGGCTACAATTCTACCTATGGTTTGCCCTCTACGAATAAATACGTGCTAGATCGGAAAAATCCCCACTGTGCAGTGGGAGTAAATTAATATTAGAAGTGTGACGACATACTTTAAGAGCGTCAGAGGAGGAGGCGTTATTAGTGGGCTCTTTCGTGGCGGATTTGTGTCTTTTCAATGAAAAACAATATATGAATAGGCTAATTTCGGGGAAATTTGTCGGCAATATTTCACAATTCTGCTTTAAAATATGCAGTTGAACCTTGATTGGTTTATAGATTGGCTATGTTGTTAGCAGACGTGTGAGCACGCCTGGTATGTTTGATGATGTGCCGATTGATGTCAGTCGACCTCGTCTTCGTGCTCTAACCACCGCGTCTCTCCCGTTGGCAGTGTGCTGGACGTGGCCACGTGGCACGAGTCGGAGACGCTCTACGACGTCGTCACGTGTCTGAACGTGCTGGACCGGTGCGACCGTCCGCTGACGCTGCTGCGGCAGATGCGCCACGTGCTCCGACCGGACGGCCTGCTGGTGGTGGCCCTCGTACTCCCACTGTCACCCTACGTCGAACACGGTGAGTTAGAGGGGACGGGCAGCTCCATAGGGATGGGGGAGTTATGGGAGAGGAATATATGACTGAGAGTTTAAAGTGAAAGGCCTTGTGCTCAAGGAATGGCGAGTGGTCATAAGGTGTCGTGCATTGGATGAGGTGGTGTGCCGTGACGTTGCGTTGTTCTAGCGTCATGTCGGCATGCAAATTTGATGTAGGTATTTTCTTTAGAAAAGCGCGATTGGCCTTAGCATCGTGTGAATTTTATTGAACCTGTTACTGCCTAGCCAAGAAATATTGACCTAAAATAGATCCTGGTAGCGATGGATAGGATGCAAGGATTGGATGGATGGGTGCATTTTCCCACCACGATTGACGTTTCGCGTCGCTCGCCCTGCCCTCTATAGGCGAGAACCGGAACCACCGCCCGGTGGAGGAGATGTCGCCAGATGGCAGCACCTTCTCCGGTCAGATCTCTGGCGTCATAGACTCCGTGTTCCGGCCGGCAGGACTGGAGGTGAGCGCTGGACGAGGGTGGTTCGACCACGGGCGTAGAACGTGGGGTGGGTTGTGTGGGATTTGTGCTAGTTTTAGTCTGCGACCATCGAAGTGGTTTGATTGCCGCAATTATTACTTCGCACCAGAGGCTAGGCGGCCAGTCAACTGCGGCTGTATGTAATCAGTGCGTGCTTTCATTCTTATTCCAGCATTTGATAAACGATTCTCTCGATTCGATTTTTTTAGCTTTTCATTGAAATATCAGAGATCCAGTTCTCATCTTTTTAAAACCGCTCAGCAACTATGCTTATGCATTTCTCTGACAATATCTGACACTTGACAGTCTGTGGCCGCATTCACGGCAAGCAGACGGCACCTGGCCTGCGTGGCGCCGGGCGAGCATCAGGGGTAAACTTCGATTGTGAATACGGCCACAAAAATAACCCGTTACCCGTTACTCTTACCCCTACCCTTGTGAATGCGGCCACTGGTCGCGAATCTCTCCACCGAACCATCCTGTTTTCTCTCTTGCCCGCCAGGTGGTGCGGTGGTCGCGGCTGCCGTACCTCTGCGAGGGGGACCTGGAGCAGGCCTTCTACTGGCTCAGTGACGCCGTGTTCGTGCTGAGGCCGGTCTCCGACGGCGCAGAGGAGTCGCCGGCCGGGTCGTGTCCGGCGGAGGGGGGTTCTGAGGGGGGCTGCAGCTAGCCAAGGACTGGATGAGGATGAGACTGAGAGGATTCCGTGGGTCAGGGAGTGTGAATAATGGTATGGTCATTGGTAGCACCAGTGAGCGTGGGTGTTGAAGAGCGTGGACTGTGATCGTTTTGAAGCACATTGTTTAACATGAAAGAGGGGATAGGGACCAATTATGTAAAGCTAAGCGATGGCAAGCTCTGTTGGGAAGGTAAGCGCACTCTGGGTTTAGCGACTGGCCGATGTTTAGCATCGGTAAAAAGTACATATATCGCCATCGCATTCGCCTTCCCGTCGTTAGCGCGCGGCCGATCAGTACAGCTTTTGATGAAAAGTATTATGTTTTGTGTTGACATTTGATAGGGCATTTCACTTGTGGTGTGTAACAGCTGTTTGTCGAACATCCGTAACATAAGTGTCTTGTGATGCTTGTACCAGCAAATGAAATATATATGGGCAACTCGCGTCTCGTGACCTTGTCTTCAAACATATATTGATTGAAAATGTCTGGATGGAACATGTGCAAGAAGCTAGCAAACCGAATATTCATATATCACGGTATTAGCGTGTAATGAACATTGAACTTGAAGTATATACCAGGCCATATATACCTACAATAAGCACTGAGCTGGTTAATCAGTTTGCAGGAAAGTGCTCTCGATCTTTTCCTTTTTTAAGACAGGCGACATGACAATGAGAGGAAAAAGAAAAATTAAGGCATCGTTTCTGTGCATTTATCAAGTTGGTAAGCCACAGACCAGCCAAAAATAAGCCCCAAAGCCCGAGGAATACGCCCAATGTTTGCCATAGGTTCAGGTAAATAATTCAGTAGCCGCATTCTCCGTCGATTACGCCTCAAAAGCTCCAGTAAATATGTGTTCAGAAACGCATAGCGCCATAAAAAGTTGCTGCTAGCAAAGTTCAGTGCCGGTAAAGGTCGCGTTTCATTGGTCAACAGCGGTAGTTGCTAATGCAAAACACGCCGCTGAGAACGGAGATGTTTATGTTTGCCGAATCGGCTGCAAAAAAAATGGCACAGCGCGCACGGGAGGCACACAATACAGAGGCTATTATTATACATTTTGGAGAAATTCGGTGATAATTTTCGAGGGTTGGTGGTTGGAATTTGATTGGAATGAAATATTGAGTCAAGTTTTTTTGGAGGTTCTTCCGCTGTCTGTTTATCTACTTTATCAGGTAGGTACCTACTGTAACTTTTTTTCTAGATAAATTCTTTGCTCCTTTTTAAATGTTTAAGAAAATCCATGTTATCTATGTTAGACGAAAAATGAGATGCTCAAAGTACGAATAGAATGTGCACCATATGCTGTCTGATGTTAGTTTCAATTTTGTTCCATTATATAGTTTATACGCATGTACTTTGGTGCCAATAATTTTGTGGTGCACGTAACTGGTACGAGCTGTGGTAGGTAGGTACTGGTGCCTGCTCATGCTACATCCACCGTACCTATACAATACCTTATAGTCTAGGGGGATGCTAATGGCATGTTGCCTCTTCTCATTGTTTTATGGCAGTCATATTTGTTTTTGAGTGGGTTGATGTTTGGTTGGACTGCTTGTAACACATGTTCGGGAGTTTAAAAAACTATTAGCTTGCATGTTTGAATGGATTTGAATTTGAGCTCACATGCTTGAATTACAGGTAATAGGAAAATTTATATGCCAAAGGCTAATGTGCCTCTGAAAGCTGGCCATGGCCTATCTCAATCTGACTCAAGAGTTAGAGAATTGATGCCATTAGTTCTTCAATTGACCTTAAATAGAAAAATTTATAATGTTTGTACATTGTGCAGTGAATGCCTTGGCTCTTGTAGTCTGAGGCATGGGTGCATGTTCTGGTCTCTAGTTTCAGAAACCTTTCTCAAGCATTCACCTTGTCATGTCCATGGACCAGCTTATAGAGCCCAATCAAGCCTCCCCTGATCCTCTGATCTGCCAGTGTTGTCAGTTTATCCCGCACCATCCTGGTGGTCTGAGTTTTTCCTGCAGTGCTTGGGAGGGGTGTTTTCACACCCCTATCTAACTCTGCTCCTATGTTTCATAGCAACATGCAGTAAGCAGCACTTGAAACAGCATAAAAAATAATGTGGACAGTACTTTTGCCATTTTATAGGTCAGGTCAAAGGTCAGCTCTCCTAGCAAAGTGTCCCCTACCATTCTGCCCCCTCTTGCAGAGCATTCAGCCACCATGCTCAGTGACAGAAACTACTTAGCTCTGTCCTCTGTTCCCTTTCACAGACTAACCGGGCGCCATGTCCAGCCCGGCCGGTGACGAGGGCCGCCAGCTGTTTGAGCGCGCCGCCGAGCTGGCGTCACGCGCCGTGGCGTTTGACCGGTCGGGTCACCAGGAGGCGGCTGTCTACCACTACGTGCAGGCGGCCGGAGCGCTGCTCGAGGCGCGCAAAACGGGCGCCACCATCGCCCACCTGGAGAAGCGCGCCAACGACTACCTGTCGCGTGCCGAACAGCTCTCCGAAAAGGGTGAGTCCGCCGGGCAGCTCGTTAGTCTGCTGGCCAACTCTATTAACTCATTTTTAAACATAATTTGTGCAGCTGCCAAGTGCCGAAACCCGGGAATACTCAACGCTCACAACTCGATCGCAGAGGGAGCTCTTCAGAAGATTCAGTTTGATGATCAAAGTTTCCAATCACCCATATCGCCATCATTCCTAAGATTCCTCACCCTCTGACTCTCTCCTGTGACAGCGGCGAAGGCAGCGCCGGTGCACGCGCCGGCGGCCGACGGGCGGGCCGAGATGGAGCGCGTCTTCTTCCTGATGTCGCAGGCACTGGACGAGGACGAGGCGGGCAACGCCAGGGAGGCGCTGCAACTCTACGGACAGGCCGTGGAGCTCTGTCTCGAGGCGGTGAGGATAGAGGAGAAATGAGGATAAATTGCGGGCGAAGGGCTATGAAATGGAAGCTACGGAAAGCTGTGGGAATGCTGTGGAACTCTCCCTGGAGGTGGTAAGATGGCAGGCGGTACTATGGCAGTGGAGGAGGGCTCATAGGATGATGATCTAAGGATGTGAATGGCGATCAAGCAATGTAAAGGTGAACTCTTGCCTTGGTATTGAAATGTAGCAAAAACCTCACTAAATACGACCGACAAATAAACATTGGAATATCTCAGCAACCACCAATCAGTAGCCCCCTAACCAACGTTGCCCTCCGCCCGGCCGTTCCATCCACAGAACAAGAAGTTCCCGAGTGCGCGGTTCACGGAGGCGGCTGAGCAGGCGCTCGGTCGGGCGGAGCGGCTCAAGGCCAGCCTGGGCGCCTCGCTGGAGTCGCTGCCGCCGCCGCTGCCGGAGCTGGACGATCTACCGGAGCTGGAGCTGGAGGAACCGTCAGCACCGCCCGCCGAGACGCCGCCGCCGCCGGCCGGCCGCGCCAGCGGCGGCGGTGGAACCGCCCGGTCGCCGGCCAGGTCACCGAGGAACGGTGCGTACGAACGGGATAGAAGGATGGAGAGGGAAGTCTGGGAAGGGAAGTAAGGGGAGGCGGGATTGAGTCTGGAGACGGCAGGGTAGCGTTGGACTGGAGAGGAGAGGCCGAAAGGAGACTGTCAAACGCCCGCCTCCTCTATGGGAACGTGTTACAGTGGCAATACACTTTTTCGTATATCTTTACGACGGTTGTGTCCGGAATAATTTAGTTTGCTTTCGGCTTAGCCTTTCAAATTTCACCGAGTGGTCGGCTGTCAGTTTTCTTCGATCTCAATTCGCCCTCCATATTCCTTCCTCTCCGCAGACAAGGCGCCGCTGCACCGCGGGTTCAGCTCTGGTCTGCTGGTGTCCGGCTCGGACGCCTACACCAAGGACGAGCTGCGCGTGCTGGCCGCCACCTCCCGCATCAACGACAACGTCTACGTGCCGTTCATGGCTGCCGACCTGCGCGAGCGGTTCGCCTCGCCGCTGCCTTTCACCGACCGGGCCGGGCCGCTGGCGCTGTCACCCAAACAGCGGCGGGACTTCAGCCGCTGGGCCCGGCCCGAGGAGCTCTCCGACCAGCCGTGCATGATCCAGGTACGGGGGTACATGAATTGTATAGTACTTTACTACAGGGCGTACAGAGTTCTCCAACCAGCCGTGCATGATTCAGGTACGGTCTACATGTATATTACGGTACTGTTCTACAGGGTGTGGTACAGAGCTCTCCGAACAGCCGTGCATGATTCAGGTACGGGGCTGAGGTCACCCGTAATTCTGATACCGACACTCAATACATCCTCTTTTTGAGCACGTCATAATAACGCTGAGTAGTAACAGACATAAAATAATTTATTTCGCCGATAAACAGCTACTCCATTTTACACGATGAAATTATGCTCCTTAATTTTTAGTGAATTTCTATTGGCTACACATCCAGTCCAGCCTCCTTCAGCACATAAGCGCCATCTACACCGTAACCTCCATCTTCCCTCCGTGTTCTGACGCCCCTCTGCGGTTGTTCCGGCAGAAAATCGACTGTTTCTCCATCAAGCAGACGTGCATCTCGGACTGTTCGTTCGTGGCGTCTCTGGCCGTGAGCGCACTCTACGAGAAGCGCTTCAACAAGCCGCTCATCACCAGTATCATCTACCCGAGAAACAGAAACAACCAGCCGGTGAGACGCGCGGCGACGGAATGAAAACGGTAGCGATGGGAATGTGTGGATATTTTCGGCGATTAGTGGAAGCTAGGGTCAGGTTGTTGTGTAGGCATCAGTATCCTTCGTTTAATTTACTTAGCTCTACGCATAAATTTGTTGCAGCTTTATGTTGCTTTATGTTTAGAAACTAATTTAATTGCTCAGCCGGTCCTTTGATTATTTTTAGTTGTGGCCTAATAATCTGTTGCTGAATCATCACTTTCTCTTTATCAGTACCTTTAAACCAATTTCCTTGTGCATCCTCTCGTCCCGTGTCGACACCCTCTACCACGCTACGAATCTCCGCGGCATCAGGCCATAAGGCTAACCTCGCCTCTATCCATAGTGCCCAACCCGCGCGACAAGTCACCCCCCCCGCCGTCCGCCAGGTGTACAACCCGTGCGGCAAGTACATGGTGCGTCTGCACATTAACGGCGTGCCGCGGAAGGTGGTGATTGACGACCAGTTGCCGGTGGACCGGCACGGTCGGCTGCTCTGTTCCTACTCCGCCGACCGCAGAGAGCTGTGGGTGTCACTACTGGAGAAGGCCTACATGAAGGTCATGGGAGGGTACGACTTCCCCGGCTCCAATAGTGTGAGTGGTGGGAGGCGGCAGTGGGTGGGAGGGGGAGAGCGGGGAGGTTTGGGGAGTGTGGAGAGAGAGAGAGAGAGAGAGAGAGAGAGAGAGAGAGAGAGAGAGGTGGGGAGCTGGGAAGTTTCGGGAGAGTGTGGGAGGTGTGCACTCCTTCAGACCGGTGGCAGAGATGAGCTTTGACTAGTGTGAGTCCGTTTGGAACGAGCGGCTCGGGAACGGGTCTGGTGTTGCACGGGTGGAAACCGCTGAGTCACCGGTGTTGATGTGAGACTGAATGAATGAAGCCGTGTCGCAACTGTTATACGCGCTCTATCACTGTGTTGATTGTATTCCTTGCAGACACGCACACTGACAAATATTGCAGTTCTGAGAGACGGAAAACCATAAGCGTGAGACTGACTATGTGGGCGCCGGCTCTCCAGCTGCGTTCTCCACAGTAATCCTCAATCATGTGTCAGTTCCCACCGCCCATCATGTGTCTTGCATCTGGATTGGCTACAGTCGTAATTATGAACACTCACGCACGTGTACAGGTACATGTACATGTACAGGTACCACTCGATGACCCTGTTGAAGCAGATGCTGTCCACCGGCCAACCAGAGCAACTGCACGGCAGTCTGGTGACACGCGGTGATGTTCACCACCGTGACACCAGGCAGGCCGGCCAGCTCCACAGGCCCGCGATACGCTCTGAGTCTGGCCGCCGGCGGTTTCTGTTCGCCGCCGTCGCGGAGTATAATACCCTGCCGCAATGTCTCCGAGATATGGGACCGCGGCAGTTTAGAGCAAACCTCCGAGATCACCTGATAACAAACCAGTATAGCAGCGGTTAGCTGGCTGTCGGACGCAGACTGAATGGAATGTTGTGTGCGTGTGTTTTTATCATCTCTCTCGTCATTATGACATGTCAATCATAATAGCCATGAGTCCATGGAACGATTGCGCAATGTGAATACAATACAATACAATACAATACACGTCGCACATGGTTCATTTGTTCGCAGTCACAGTGGTGTCCCGACAGTGAGGAGCGTGATTCAGTCAGTTTCTCACCGTCATTCCATTAAACCACCGTGCTTTACCGGAACACGGCTCATTTCCCGCGGTTGGAGTCGCCACTGTGAAATGGCCTCGTATTTTACCCACGGGACATAAACATATTACATCCGTGCATGCTGCCCGCGAATAAGGATGAGAGCTGGCAGCTCATTCGTGACTCAGTCCACGTGCAGACGATGCGAACCGCTGGTAAATCCTGGGCAGTTGGGCAGCTCGCTTCACATATTTTTTTTTCTTACTGGCGTGCCTGTTTAGTTTCTTGGTTCGTTTTGGATCACTGTCCCTGCACAGAAATCACTTGTGGGCTGTGTGTGAGTACCTCCGACGATTCCCGGTTTTACATCGACCTGTGTCCGCTCTTCCTCAGAGACTTGTAGGGCTGTCTGGGGCATTGACATCTACCCCCTTTCCTCCACAGAACATCGACCTGTACGCGCTGACGGGCTGGATTCCGGAGCGGCAGTCGATCCGGCCCGGTGACCCCGAGTTCAACGCCGACGCCCTGTTCCGGCGGCTGCACGACTGCCACCAGAAGGGACAGGTCAGGCCACTGGGAGGTGTGTCACTAGCGGACAGGTCAGGTCATAGGGAGACTGAGGGGACACTGGAAGGAAAGCCACCGGGAGGGTTGTCGCGGGGGAAAGGTCGACTGACCGGAACATTGCAGCGCTATGGGATTTGTCAGATCTAAGGATGACCAAGGTAGAGAAGTTTTAGGTAGAGAGGTAGAGAGATCCCACGACGCCCTAGTAGAGGATCCCTAACCCACAGGGAGCCTGTCTGTGACCTCACATGACCTCTGCCCCAGGTACCTAGCACGGGAGCTCTCAGTACAGGGACCGGTCCGTGACCTGACCCGACCTCTGTCCCAGGTCTTGATCACGGTGGCCACGGGTGAGATGTCGGAACAGGCGGCCGACCGGGCCGGCCTGGTGCCCACCCACGCCTACGCGGTACTCGACATCCGGGAGGTGCAGGTAAGGAGCCACGAGGCACGTTCGCTGAAAACAATGGTCTTGTTTGTGTATTGCGTAAGGAAATCTTGCGCATTGGTTCCGTCATAGACCTCTGTTTACATACAGAGGTCTATGCTTCGGTGAATCTTCGTTTCTCACTTGCACCATTCAGACAGAGATTATCCCCATCTTCCCTCCCCTATCTACCCCACTCCTTCAATCACCCCCTCCCCCACCCCGCAGGGCCAGCGGCTGTTGCTGCTCAAGAACCCGTGGTCGCACCTGCGCTGGAAGGGCAACTTCTCCGAGATGGATCAGCGCCACTGGACGCCCTCGCTGCGGTCGGCGCTCTCCTACGACCCCCAGTCGGCGCAGCAGTTCGACAACGGCGTGTTCTGGATCGACTACGAGAGTCTGTGCCGGTTCTTTGATGTGTTCTACATGAGCTGGAACCCGCAGCTGTTCTCGCATACCTTCTGCCACCATCAGTGAGTGGTGCGGGGCGGGTTTTGTAAGGGAGGGCGAGTGGGGCTGGATAGATGCTGTTTGGTTGGGAGGGCTATTTATTGGACAAACTGAAGTCGTTTACTGGGCTAGAGCCTTTCGTTCTTCTTGGTGCTTTGGACGTCCTTTTCAAACAAAAATCAAGACTTGAATGAAATTTATGATGGGCAAAATTTCAAATGGGAGTAATTTACCCCACGTTCGGAGTCTCCCGGACGACTAAGATTCTACGTCGTCCGGCCAATCACGTTCAAGGTCAGCGGGGGCTTGACTGCGGTTATGGAACGAGATTGGCCGGACGACCTAGAATCTTCGTCGACCGAGAGACTCCGAAGGCGGGGTTAAACACGATATTACGTGAAATGACTACACCTTATATACAATCCAAAAGCAAACGCGTCGTAACCGATCAAGCCATCTGATTTAATTGATGGCATTTGGCCATGAGGACTTTCATCTTTGTCAAATCGGCAGTATCGGTAACCTGTACCTGCAGACACAACTACTAATTCCTTTCGGCTGTGACTGGTCACGTTTGCCTTGCGTATCAGCGCGCAGCAACGTGCTCGTTTTTCAATATTTACGACCTGCGTTCACGAGCGTATTGTCTGATCGCCGATTGTTTTCTCTGTGCGTTTCAGGACGTGGCTGGCGGGCCAGGGTCCGATCCGAGACATGTACAACATCGGAGAGAACCCCCAGTACCGGCTCGAGGTAAGCGCTTTTACGTATTGGTAAATATTGGGTGAGACCGGCCCGGCGCCCGCGAGACCTATTTGAGGGCTCATCGTGACGGTTCCCCTCAGTCTCCAGGGTGAATAATCTATTCCTGTCCATTGTTCACAGGCTGCGGTAATGAACTGACCCGGTCGGTGCGGTATTGCACTGGCGGGTCGATTCGGCCGGCTGAATCGGGCAGCCCTCTGTTCTCTGCAGTCTAACCCACCCGTTTGAGGTCTCCGCTCCGCGCCCACCATGAGTCACGAGTTTGGGGCCCCAACGCTCCTTATTTGGTGGGATGGGATCGTCATCTAAGTCGCGGGTGTACATCTTATATTTTAACGCGCGCCAACGTTTGACCCGTGGGTACTCCAGCATGTTCCACCTCTCCTCCCCCATTTACCCCTCTCGTCTATTTCGCGGTCTGTCCATATGAGTCTCCTAAAATAGCCTCCATAAAGTTGTCGCCATTGTAAGTCATGCTGGTACGAATCAATTGCCCTTCATAAATCATCCTTATCAGCCTCAACACCCAGCTAACTCGGTCAATGACAGCGTCGCCGCCGTCTCCGTCCACTTCAAACTGCATTCATCCAGCCCCGGTGACCTGACCTGACCTGACCTGTGACCCGGCCGTCAGGTGCGCGGTCCGACCGTGGTCTGGGTGCTGCTCAGTCGACACATAACCGAAATCGAGGACTTTCGCAACAACAAGGAGTACATCACCGTGGCCGTGTATCGCACCGACGGCTCCCGCGTCTACTACCCTAGTAAGAGGGGAGGGAGAAAGGGGGTCCCAGGGCCGGATCGACGGCTCCCGCGTCTACTACCCCAGTAAGGGGAGGGTGAGTGGAAGGGAGGGGGAGGTCCTGGGACTGAAGGAAAGGGTGTTGTCACTGACTGTGAGAGGAACTTCATCCTTGCATTGCAGGCCCTTGGTCTCCTCTGAAGTCTAACGTCACGTCAACCCTCCTCCTTCCACCACCCATTTCGCAGACGACCCCGAGCCTTACATGGACGGTGTGCGCATCAACTCGCCTCACTACCTGTGCAAGCTGACGCTCAAGGAGCCGGGCAACTACACCTTTACGTTCGTGATCGCCCAGTACGAGAAGCTGAACACGATCCACTACACCTTGCGGGCCTACAGCGCCAGCTCGTTCTCGCTGAGGAAGCTCGGATGGCTCCCGACGCAGCACTCGGTACGGAGGGGAAAGGGGCGGGGTGGGGAGAGGGTGGGAGGAAGGGAGATGGTTGACCAGGAAACAGTACAGATGGCCGTGTTGTTGGCGCGGCATGGCATTGCTGAGTACCTACCACAGGGTAGGATAGGATGTGGTTCCTACTTCCTAACAAACGAACCCAGTAAACAAAAACATAAACTTTGCATTTAATACACTTCTTGGAGCTTCAAGATCTGTTTTAGGTATATGGGTTACAATGGAATGAGCGCGAAAGAATAGCTCACAAACTCCGACGCCTCACGTAGAAGTTATGTATCCTGTGCTTTCTCGTATCACAGGATCCTCTGTGAACAGTAACGATCCTGAGTGACGCCTGTGTATCGCCCCCGTGACGCCGCCCTGTGACGTTCTGCAGGTGACCGGCGAATGGAAGGGCGTGACGGCCGGCGGGTGCACCAACCACCCCCAGACGTACCCCAACAACCCGATCTACCAGCTGCAGCTGGCTGGCCCGGGCGCCGCCAACATCACACTGCAGCTGAAGGGGCCGCGCGTCTACCAGGTGAGCGACGAACCTGGACGGAAGAGGGACAGATCTGATGGTTCAGAGACGGATCTATTGGGTGAGGGACAGACCGGGGCGGATGAGGGAAGAGATCGGGGCGGGGGAGGGACAGGGTTTGCAGGTGAGGCACAGACCTAACGGGTGAGGGACGGGCCTGGACGGGGAGGGGCAGATCTAATGGTTGGGGGACGGATCTACCGGGCAGACCCACCAGGACGTGGTGACCGTCGTTATCGCGTCTGTTAGGTGAAAATATACTGGGACGGCTCAGGAAGCAAGTCTGGCCGCATGACAATCAACCAGCTCAGCAAACTACTAGTACCCATGACATGCGACGAAGCGACGAAAATGAATATATTATAATATATTCTATCGATCACGAATATTGCTTTTGAAATTTACTCAGGATTTATAGAAAAAAGATTGCTTCTTTTGAGTACTTCTTGGTACATCGGTTACATTTTTACCGACACAAGATCAAAACGAATTGCTAGTACCGCACAGAAATATAGACCGCTATTCAGTATCGTCATTCCGTATGTAGCGTTCGCCGCCGCGCCGGTGGCTGCCACATCCGCCAGGCATGGTGTTCTGTCTCGGTGGAAGGTCTGTAGTTTGACACGCAACACCTGGGGGCGTTGCGCCGTGACAGAGTGGCAGACGACCGGGGCTCATGGGGAGTGACAGGTCACTGTCGTATTGGGGAGGGGAGGGCGATGACGGATAACCCTCAGAGATCTTAAGGCGGGGGGGGGGGGGGGAGGGTACAACGGTGGTGCTTGATCAGTCAGTTCGCGGTAAGGAAGAATGGCGAGGGTATAGCGTTTCTTTACTCCTTATATGTGTCGCATGTTTTCTGGGGAGACACCACCGAAAACAACGCAAATATTCTAGCGCGATACGGCGTAACGTTACCCCAGAGGAATTTAAAATACCCTGTCATCCACTATTCCTCTCCTACTTATTCTCATTCAAACCCCCGGCTCTTCAGTTGATTCAGCAAATATGAACCCAGCACCCTCCCCTGCAGTCTGACCGCCGGCTCCCCTCTCTTCAGATAGGTATGGACGTGACCTGTGTGGAGGCCGCCTCGGACGCGCCCGGCTACTTCCGACGGCGCAGCTCCGGTGCCTATCGGTCCGGGTTTGTGGTACTGGCACTCGAGAATGTGCCACGGGGCGTGTACAACATCGTGCCGAGCACCTACCTGCCCGGCCAGGAGGGGCCCTTCATCCTCAGTCTGCTGGCAGCCGAACCGGCCAAACTGGTTAGAATCAAATAGTGGACCAAAGTTACATCGAACCAGTCTCCTGACTCGGACTGGAGATGTTGGTTCTGGGGGGGGGGGGGGGGGGCTATTAATTTGTGATAACGAGTGCAGAATGTGGTCTACGCTGGTCCTTACAGAATGACTGAGAGTGAGTTGTGGAATGAGGAGAGTGGGACGGTGCAAGTGCACGAGGTAGGGGTCGGGCGATGGCTTCCCCGCTGTCGAGGCGAGGGCCGTGGATGGAGCCCGAGTGGAATAACGTTTTGGTATGTGTGTGTGTGTCCATCTGCGTCTCATGCTGGGTGCCGCGCAGTGCACAACGTACAAAGGATCTAACTGCCAGGAATCTAACTTCCATTCAGCTTGGTGCGGTTCACGCTCTGGCAATTCCTTGCCAGGAACGCTTTACTAGGTACTTATTAACTCTAGCCAGTAATTATTGTAACATCCTTTCGCTCAAGGTGCTCTCTTCTTGCGAATTCATTCGCACGAAAACAACTAACGGGCGATATTCACCGTACGGTCGGGAGCCAAAGTTTCAGCCAGTGAAGTAGCTCGCTCGGTGGCAGCGAATGCAGTGACTCTCGTGCTGTTGTTCGCCGACGCACCTGTGATACGGAGCGCCCGGGACAGCGTCATGAGGTGATGATGTGCGGTTTGTGGGGGGGGGGGGACGTCTCTCCCTGCCAGAGATAGTCTCAGATGTGATGGAGTGCGGCGGCATACTACAAATGCCTGGCTGTCGATCGTCCCAGCAGTGCGCAGCTGCTCCGTAGGATCATTTATCAGAGTGGGCGCCAGCCAATCCTTGAGACGTGTAATTGTGGAATACGTTTCACGGGCAATCGCAACATTTTGCAGCATGCGTGTGCAAAATGTGTTACTACGAAATTTTATCAGTTGGGCTGGCATGAGAACTAACTGTGACAGTGTTTTGCTTTGTGACGAAATAATGTGATACTGATATTGAACGATTGCATGTATCGTTAATCTGCCGAATGCATTGCGAGTGTTATTATGTAAGCTTCGAATGATGACATTTGTGATAGTGCTTTAAACACGATGGGGTGCTTGGTTGCTTTTCAATCGATTCAAATATATACATTTTGAAGCAAATGCCAGGGTTTTGCTGTCGTCTTCTTTGTTGTTCATATCGGTAGATATTGTACAACCCCTCCTTTATTTCCTGCACAGGGGTCGTAAGCATTTTGGCGTCTACAACGGTGCCAAGTTGCTGCATGGGAAGCACTAAGCCACACACTATGCAGCGCGCATAAAGTCAGGACTTATTACATTAGATTCGCATGTTGTGAAACGACCTAACTGCTATTTTCCTCATAATATTAATGGCGTTTCCAATAAAGCTACAAGTGTCACTGCAAGATGGCACTTCGAAAACATGTTTTGACCGTCCTGGTGACACAAAACAACTGCACCGAGTCACCGCCAAGTGTTCATGTTTGTCGCGGTGTTTTCGATCGGTGACAGACCACTTCGTAAGCACACCCCTAACCCACCTATATAAGACGGTTACAGTCGTCAGACCACACCCAGCAGTTCGCCGACATGCGTCCCTCTCAGCAACTGGTCTGCCTTCTGGCGGTCGCACTGACTGCCGTAGCGGCTGCAACGATTACTTCCAAAGGTAAGCCGGGTGCAACGGTTACTCCAAAAATGTACATTGCCGGGTGCAACTTTCTTTCCAAAAGTATGCCTACCACTTTCGTAAAGCTTAAAGACAGTCTATGATATTCTACGAGCTGGCCATTGCAGTCATGCAGACGTGTCGAAAAAATATCACTGTTGAACTTCCAAACTGAAGCTGTCCTTTTTCAGATGCAAGCGGGCAGCTCTCAGCAATCGCAGCTCAGCGTATGATCGACCAACGGTCTCTGGACAAGGCTACACTTCTCCAATGTGACCAGGGCAAACAGCATCTGCTTCCGGGTGTGTACTACATGCAGTCGCCAAACTATAAACAAGACGATCCTGGCAATTACACCAATGACTACTCCTGCAACTACGACCTGACAGCGGCGGACGACAATGGCATACTGCGCTTCGACTGTTTCTTTTTTCAATTGGAAGATAGCGACGCGGGCTGTAGCAAAGACAGCTTTGGAATTTATACCGAGGATATACTTGAAGTATTTTGTGGAACCGATTCACCAAAAACGAGGTTTGTCAAAAGCATTGGTGTTCATTTCAAAACGGACGCATCTGTTACCGACAAAGGTTTCTTCTGCACGGTGATGTCCAAAGAGGCGGTGGCCGGCTGCGACAGCCTTCCTTGCGGCAAACGTTACCTTGCACCGGGAACGTACAGCCTCCTCAGTCAGAACTATCCCGACAACTACGGAACCAACATCTACTGCAAGTGGGAGCTGGTAGCCAGCGATCCGTCAAACACAGTGGACTTCAGCTGCAGCAGCTTTGACATGATCTCCTGGGACAACTCCTGCGAGTGGGACTGGATGAAGGTCGACGGCGTCCGCCACTGCAACAACAACAAGCCTGCTCCGCAGCAGTTCACAGGCGGGGTCACCGTGGAGTACTCCACCCCAGACTTGCCTCACAAAACAAGAAAGGGATTCAAATGCACTGTTACGGTAAACTAAAGCCGAAATCAACACACAATTTCGGGATGATCCCATAAAGAAAATGACATGACTATGCAGATGTTAAATGTGTGGTTTAATTATTTTGGCATTGGTTCCATTCGGATTTCGAAAAATTTTGCATTGCATTATTTTTTCAGTTCTGATAATAAATTGAGTGACGGGCAGACACGATTTTTTATCTGAGTCCCCCAGTTTATCATTCTATAGTTAGTCGACCGGGTTCTAACGAATCTTCATCGCAGCAGAGTGTTGATCATGACTATAAAGTATCTATAATAGGTATGTCTCCGTGAAATCGATAAAAACACTCGAAGAACAAAGCCTGAAACAGACTCTTTCCGCAGTCAGGAAATCGCATGCGAGAGCCTATTCAAATACATGGAAGCTCGCTCGCATCAATCGCACGCACCTCCAGCATGCGATTGAGGCGGGCAAAATTATAATGTATTTGAATAGTCTCTCGCATGCGATTTCCTGAATGCGGAAAGAGTCTGTTTCAGCCTTGACGGGTTGAACGTTGCCCGAGATAGACGTTACTCGCTGGGTATTATCTCATTTTCTCTTTCCATCGCACTCCATTCGAAAGATCATCGAGCTGCAAGTGCCTGTAAGAGCCGATAACGCATCACTTTTCAAGACAACGTTCTCATCCCGAAACAAATACGAAAGACGTAATCGGGCCAGACTAAAAAACACAGGGCGATTTTACCAGTAGACAAAAACAAACAGTGTCAGGTCTTCACTCGCAGTTGTAGGCTAGAGCTATTGGCTATATTCGCTCGTGCCGGGGAGAGGATGTCGGTCGGGTCCACTCCCTGGTGACACTCGGGTGGGTGACAACTAAAGCTGGGGCTCGGACGCAGGGCCGCCGCGCACCACAGCCAGGGCCACAGGCCAGCTGACCCCCACAAGAACTGAACCGCCGTGCCCGGCGCGGCGGACGGAAACGGACGGAGACGGCTCGCTAAACAAATTACTCGGACGCTGAAAGACAGTCGGACAGCGAATCGCAGTGGGATAGCACATAATAAATCAGGAACTCGCAGCAAAGGTGACATTTTTAAAGCAAATGGAAAATCGTGACAGATGTGTACGGCACACTGCCTCCTGCCCGAGTTCCAGGCGACATCAACTCACTCGTCAAATTATATCCAGTCCCGCACGGCCCGGCCGGGCGGCTCGTGCGCCGCGCAGTCCACTGCCGTTGGCTGCAGGCGCAGGCTCTCTCATATGCATGCATGCGATCAAAGCGGTCAAAGCTGAGGTCTCGGCCGTCGGAGCTGAGGCCCTGGTCAGAGCGATCACTGGTGACGCCGCGGCGAGACATTGCATGCAGCAGGCGCCGGCCCCGTGCCCGATCCGCGGGGGATCGCCGCATGCCGCGCGACGTCAGGCGGAACAGTCCGTGATGGTGATTTATCGACAAAAATACTCGGCATTTCTTACCAAAGCAGTCATGATTGCAATACCATAAGAGTTTGCAATTTCATTTACCTTCGTCTTGGTGCAAGGACTGAAGAGGGGCGATTTCGAGCTCACTAGTTTTACTGTATTGCCTGTGTAGAGAGTCGCGGCGCGTGGAGCTTAGAAAATAGGGTGCCTACTTCGCACATCCATTTTGCATCGCAATGTAAAATTTTGACCTCAATTCACTGCACAGTGCACCTAGTAACCAGGTCACCCTTTATCCATGATCATTTTGGGACATACCTATTTGCGAATAGGAAGCGTGTTTCATATGACCCACTATAAGAAAAAGTTACAATCAACGAACATCCGACGTGACAACATTCAAGTTCAATCCCACCTCCGTTTTGCGTTTCTCCCCGTTCCCGATCTCCGTGAACTCTTTCGCAGCCCTCAGCGAGGTGTACTGCCACCTTGCATGACCTCATCGGCCCACCTCTGAGCTCAAATGACGTCATCTGCGTGAAACCATAATCCAGCTTCAGCCCGTTCAGGTGGTACGGTGCCTGCAGGCGACTTCCCTCTCCCTCTCCCCTCCGACCGGTCACCCCGGCGTCGGGGTGACCGGTCGCCAGGGCGCCATACGCAGGGGACGCCGAACGGCGACGGCGGCAGGGGCGGCAGTAGTCTGCGAGAAGCCACGAGGTGAGGACGCGCTCCCAGACGGGCACAGCGGACGGTGGACTGTGGCTAGTGCCGCTGGTCTGACAAACCTCCATCAGTCACACACGCTAGCTGCCATGTCTGAGAAGAGCGTCTGTCTGTGTTTTGACCTGCGGAGCGGCTCGCTCGCCATCGGCATCACATTGCTGGTGCTCGGCGGCCTGATAACGTTCGGTGGATTCATCTGCATCGGCGCGCTGGAGCGCGAAGATCGTGGTGCCATTCGTGGATATGGAGATTTCCATCAATATCAGAATTGTGACGAATTGATAATGCTACTGCAGTGCGTCATGGGAATCTTGCTCGTGATCTTCAACAGTCTGCTAATTTACGGAGTGGTGAAGAAGAGAACAGGCATGCTACTCGCATGGCTGATCTACTACGGAATATTCTGTTCTATCAAAACCGTGGTCGGTATAACCAGTCTTGTATTCGCCATGTTAAGTGGAAAAACATTGCCAGTAGCTGGAGCTTGTGTCGAGCTTCTGGTGGCCGTCCTGTTTTGGAGATATGAAGGTTTCCATCGATATCAGTATGACGAATTGAAGATAATGCTGCTGTACCAAGCAGTCATCGGGATTTTGTTCTTGATCTTCAACAGTCTACTGATCCACGGAGTGAGAAAGAGGAAGACGGGCATGGTGCTCGCGTGGTTGATTTACCACGGAGTATACAGCTCTATCAAAACCGTGGCCCTGATGATCGGCCTTGCATTTGCCATGGCAAGTGGAAAACCCTCGCAAAAAGTTGGAGTCGCTGTTGGGTTTCTGGAAACCATCCTGTTTTGGATGTTGCTTCTATTCGTGCGCCGTTATCGCACGTCACTGAAGCAGCAAACCGGTGAGTCACACATGCCACAGAAGGACGAAGATGTAGAAAACATGACGAAGGTGCAAGTGTGAGGTGAAACCAAGGATACCCGTTCAGAACAAATAATTTATCCAGGAAGGTCTCCTCCATTGGTTGGAAAAATGGCCCATCGAATGTCATCAACTCGGAACAAAGTTGAAGATATGCGCGAGTTGATCAACCTCGCTAGAATTATGTACATACCAGAACTCGTTAAACTTCGTCAAATTGGGGAAAATTGTTGGGCAAAAAGACTTTCTTCAAAAAATTCTTAGCTGACCATAGCATGAGATGGAGATACAACATTTGGTCTTTTTAGTCCGTAGACATTTCGCATTTTCACCACTGTAAATTTTAATATTTTCCACGCCGAGCGTTGTGTACTGCGCGCGTGTCCTGTGTCGCGGCCAGCGGCTGTGTGACACCGACGCGCTACATTATTTACTGTACTGACTTTCTTCACAACCGAGTTTGTGTAATATACGTTATATATATATGTCGTGGTTATCATCGCCGGCGGCGTGCTTACTGCTGGTTACTGGGCAACGGACGCCCGGCCGAGGTTGAGTTGTCGGGAGCGAATACGACGGGACAGACTAAAGGGCTATGAGTTAAGTGGCAGGTCATATTCTTACGGACGTTTTCCAAAGCGGATATTCTCTTACAAAAAACTTTTCTTACTGGACATATTTTTCCCAGACACGTTGCCGAAAAATCGCCATTCGTACGGTAATTTTCTATCGGAGGCAAATTCTTACACAGCTTTAAAGTTTCTTACAATGATTAAAGGCATTTTCAAGGTTCTATGAAAATATTCTATGTTCTATAATGTTCAAGATTCAAAGGCAATTTGCAATGATTTAACCCTCGCATGTGTGCGGCGTTTGCCAGCGCCTAACGTGTAGGGGGGAGGGGGGTCGGTAGGACCCCCTGCCGTTCGGCCCCTGATCGAGCTAGAGCTTCGCGGAAAAAAACGAGCGTGTTGCCCGTGACGACAGGAAGCCGATGGTACCCAATTTAAAGGTCCTAGGTCATCGGTTGACCTTCAAGGCTGGGTCAGGGGTGAAAAATTGCATCGTTTTGTCGTTGTCGACGACAACCGAGAAGGCGAGCTTATGGCGACCACGCGCGGCGCCTGTTCTGATGAAGTCCTTCCTCTTTGTGCGTTTAGAAGCGTTCCATCCCTTCGCCTCTGCCCACGCAACCCATTCTCTGCCCTCCCTTCCCCATCAAAACGACTCGCAGTCCGCGGGTCCGATGCCTCCCGCTCGCGTCGGCATCCCAGTGGAAAATTTTCTGGTAGCTACAGACATATTCCAACTCCCCGGAGCTATTTAGTATATACTGCGTCGTTCGACCATCGCGCAATGTAAAATTTTGACCTCAATTCACTGCACAGTGCACCTAGTAACCAGGTCACCCTGTATCCATGATCATTTTGGGACATACCTATTTGCGAATAGGAAGCGTGTTTCATATAAGCCACTATAAGAACAAGTTACAATCAACGAACATCCGACGTGACAACATTCAAGTTCAATCCCACCTCCGTTTTGCGTTTCTCCCCGTTCCCGATCTCCGTGAACTCTTTCGCAGCCCTCAGCGAGGTGTACTGCCACCTTGCATGACCTCATCGGCCCACCTCTGAGCTCAAATGACGTCATCTGCGTGAAACCATAATCCAACATCAGCCCGTTCAGGTGCCAGGTGGTACAGTAGGTCTACTAAAAAAGTCCCCCGCTCCAGAGGCGGCCGGCCGGCCGAACCCCCGGATTCCAGCCCCGACTCTATTGCGCAGGCCGCGGCAGCGACACGGGTCAGGTCGCGGCGCCCGGCGAGTGGGTCAGTTGGCGCAAGGCCCTATATACCGGAGTTGACGGCGGCCGGCCGTGGAGTGAGGACGCCGTGTGTGGGGCGCAGAGATGCCGCAGTGCGGAGGAGGGGAAGATAATGACTCTGCACGATGCCGGAAATGATGCCTTTGTGATCTAAATTAAACACCTGCAGTGTATATCCTCCCTTGCCCCATTCCTATTTTATCATAATCCTTCAATAATCCGTAATGGCCATTCAACGCAAGCAAGCAAACAAAACAACCCGTTTAGCGGCGACATCATCTCGGATAAAAAAGCGACAGTGATGATTATAATAGACTTAGCGCGAGGGCAAATCGAGGGGTATAACTAT